GCTTGATTCTTGGCTTCAAAGACTTTTTGATCAGCTTCTGTACTGCCTATGACTTTGCTTGTTTTAATATCTTTCATATCCTCAGATATATTGCTATTAGCTTTAGAGAGTAGTGTAAGTTTGCTTTTTAAGCTAAATAGTGTTAGATAATTCTGAGAAAATACTAAGATATATAGAGTTGCTTGTTTTTCTTCTTCTACTTTTATTTCTATTTCTTCTATTTTAACTTCTACCTCTTCTGTATAGCTCATTCTTTTTTCTTCTTCTGATTCTATTAGTGCTCTTACTTCATTAAATCTATTTGTTATTGCAGCTCTTTCAATTACTACTCACTATTATCTAGCTATTTTAACTATTTCTAATTCTATATCCATTAGTTCAGCTACTATTTTGTCTAGATATTCTTCTAACCCTAATACTGCATTGCTTCCTTTTATTGCTATTTCCTTACTATACTTTTTTATAACTTCTTTAATTAGTCTCCTGTCTTTTCTTTTTTCCATATTTTGTCACTCTAGTTTACTTCTTGATGAGACTATATAAGTTTCTTATTTGATTTATAGTGCTTTCTTTTGATTAGATCTTTGAATATTGTATCTTGAAGTGACTTCATCTTTTTCTTGAAATTCTTAGTGATTTTTTCTGATTATCTGTAAGTTGTCTAGTTTTGGTCTTGCATATACTATTTATGTTTTAGACATGTAACATGTAATTTATCTATAACATGTTTTGTTTATCTTTCTTTGCACATGTTTGTACTATGTAAAATGATCTGCATTTCAGAGTTTGTTTGATTTCTCAAAAAAGATTTTTAAGAGCTTTCGTATTCTGTTCAATATCTAAACTTCTTCTATAATACTTAAATTTCTTTTGTTTTTTCAAGTTCTTTCTGCTTTATTATATATATTTTTGCTTTTACTTTCTCTTTACTTAAGGGTTCTTGTGTTTATTCTTAGTAAGAATTTTGAGTTAACTTGATTTTTCTTTTTGCTCCAAAATTGGTTAAGATGATCAACAGAGAGAGTTGTATTTTTATTAATTATTAATATTTAATACATACTATATATGTATATAATAATATTATACTAGACTTAGTAATCTTAGCTACTTCTAGAAGAATAAGATTTTGCTATTTGTTTTTTTATTAAAACAGTATAACTATTTCTATACTAGCAAACTACTAGTAAATATTACTAAATTAAAAAGATATTTGATAATTTTTCTTATTATCTACTACTTTTTTATAGTATTTAAATATTATATTAAGATAATATAACTAAAAAGAATTTTAATAAAAGTTATTCACTTATAATATATTATAAAAAATTTAAAAAAAAAATATTATTATTTGTTATAACAGAAAATTTTTTTTTTTTTTTTTTTTTTTAATATTAAAGGTGGTTTACATTGCTAAAAGAATTTTATTAAAGTTGCAAATAAAATTATATATTGATAATTCCTACTGCTTGATTTCTGTTGATGGCAGCCCATATGTTCATTTTAAGTGTATATTGACATGAACTACAGGTTAATCTGTTGGTTTTTAATAAATAAGGGCTCTGACTTCTAATTGTCACTTTTCTTTACTTTTATAAAACAAGAATATGGGTTTTACGAATATTACGGGCCAAGAAATAATTAAGATATGATACAAATACATTCTACTAAGACCTTCGAAGTTTTAGAACTTAACTGAGTTATTTTTATTGAGAGTAAGTTGGATCACTTATATACTAGTTATTTTACTTATAAATTTTTAAATTTATGATTTCTTCGCTTCATTTATTAAACCGTTTGTACTGCGTCGATTGCACATCATTGCTGAGTAGGGGTAAATTTGACGTTTACAACGTACATAATACGTCAGTATGTATATAATAACGATGTCAAATTATATGACTCAATAGGATTTAGACTCTTGGATTTTGGGTGGAACTCTTGGGTTTGACGCATTATCTTGCATGATCTATTATATCCTTGAATTATTTAGGGCGTTTATTGAAATTTATTGAGCAATTGTTCCGTATAGCAGACCAATTAAAAACGATTAATTATGGGGTTCAAAATAACTCCAGTGCCTCTGTTTAGGGTCCAATGTCTCCGATTAGCCCATATGGGTCGTATTCTGCTAAAGCCAACTGATTTTATTTAATGCATAACGATCACCGCTATTGTTATAAAATACCTGAAAATATTTAATGAGCACTAATTATTCACTGAACAATACTGGTGATCACATTTTTTTCTCAGACAAAAAAAATTAATAAATTACTTCAATCCAAACATTAGGATGTGGACACGTATAGATGATAGGCATACGTCTTTGTGGAAATGTTGGCCGTTGAAACCATACACCAACATCAGGTCTGAAATCTCTATTTTCGACTACACAAATAGTATTGCTACTTGTCCACCAATTTTAAGTTTGATTCTCAAGTGAATTTCTGAGTTTTGCATGAATCATTTCTTTTTCTCCACTATTATACTAAAATAATATAAAAATCATTAAAATTTAAGTTTTTTATATATTTTTAAGCTACATTAAAAGTCACTTTGATAAATAGATCAAATCCAATTCTTTCAGCATTGAAGGCATTATGGAATTTTTCCCGTATGTTAAGGTCACCAAGTTCTTTAACAGGAAATTTAATCTTCACAATTGCCTGTATCTTGCCCCTTCAGTTCTTGTTCAATTTTATCACGAATCTTTAAAACAAAAAGACCATTAGCCAAAGCCATTTCGTTTTCATTATTTTTTAAGTACCATTATATACCTTATCAAATTTGGATTGCATAGCGATAGAAATTGAGCTATTCATCGATGATTCATTTGCAGATTAAATATTTTTTGACTGGTTATTTATTGTATAACAAAAATCCCTGAAAAACTGGTTTTTTTTTTTGTATAACAAAAATACCTGAAAAGATTCTTTAGATCCGGCAATAGTTTCACATACTAGCTATCAGGACCCGGGCGTTGTCCCGGGTGCTACGTAAAAATTTCAAGAATTAGAGTGAAGATATCACGATAATTACCTATTAAAATTTAATAAATTAATTATAAATATTTCTATCAGAATAAAAAATTTTTGCTAATTTTGATTGTGTTGTAATATCTTCGCTCAAAATTAGTAAACAATTCAAACCGTCTATCAAAATATAAGCTGCGCTAAAATTTGAGCGAAGATATCTTTTTTTTTTTTTGTTTGAATTCTATGAATCTCTAGAATTCAAATAAAAAAATTTTTATCGAATTTGGTCGGGTGGTCTATTAAAATAGAAGTTGTGTTAAATTTTTTTTTAAAACTTTGAGCGAAGATATTACAACAACCATCTTATCAAATTCGATGAAAATCTTTTTTATTTGAATTCTAGAGATCCATAGAATTCAAACAAAAAAAAAAAATTAATCAAATTCGATCAGGTGGTTGTCGAGATATCTTCGCTCAAAATTTTAGCGCAGCTTATATTTTGATAGGCGGTTTGAATTGTTTACTAACTTTGAGCGAAGATATCACAACACAACTTAATCAAAATCGGCAAAAATTTTTTTATTCTGATGTTAGAAATATTTGTTAAATTTTAATAGGTAATTATCGTGATATCTTCACTCTAATTCTTGAAATTTTTATTAATTAAAAGTATAATCGTATTATGTATATCAAAAAAGTATATATTTTAGTGTAACATCTGCGTATATCAACAAAGTTAATTTCGTAAGTTTTGCCTTGTTCGCGCTTCGGGAGATTTCGTAACATCTGCATATCAACAAAGTCAATTTCGTAAGTTTTGCCTTGTTCGCGCTTCGGGAGATTTCGTAAGGTGACAAGTAAAAATGATCTGCATAAGCTATATAAATAACGATCAAAAATAATTTTTATTTTTTTAACTATTTTAATTTGTTTATATTGTTTACGTTTTTTTAGTTAGGTGGCATAAATTCTTTATAAATGCGAAAGTGATTTCTTTGTTAAGGTCTACTAGTTCTACATAGGCGTGAATTAGTTACGTACCTTCCTTAACAAGATTTCTACCTAATTAAAAATGCTTTATTCCAGCACATTCATCGGTACTAGATACCGAAGAAGTGAGTGAGTTAGGCTCTGAAGTTAGTAAACAAACAAATTAGTAGTTCAGGGAGAATTGAAAGCTCCTCGTGGCCACAATTGCGATAGTTGCTAGTTGGGTACCCAGACCCAATATACAGTAAACAGCCTTTGTGAACGTTCTTCTCCTTTACCTAACTATTGGATATGCCTCTACGTGGCAGTTAGGACTAGTAAACAAATAATTAATTTGTTGAAGCTAAATATCCAAAAATTAAAAATGTAAAAATAAAACCAAAATTTATTTAAGAATATATTTTATAATGAAATAAAAAACTGAAAATTTTATTTAACATATTTACAATAAATAAGAATTTGAATTTATTATATCGATCATGAATTTTATCTTGCCAATATTTTTGTATGCCTTTTGAACAATTAGAACATTCATGATTCTATTACGATTGGTATTCCTCTTTGCCAATGCTTAGGACAATATTTGCATCGGACAAGAATTGGTGATTATTTAAAAGCAATATTTAAAAACCTTTTTAATTGTTATGAAATAGGTCTATTTTCAATATATAGAAAAATCAGAGGTACGTATAACAAAAGGATGTCGAGCTAGCAATGTTGTTATAGAACATGCTAGTAAGTATAAAAAACAAGAATCAGAGCGTCTCACAAAAAGACCAAGACATACCAAAATTGCTTCGCCAAATACTAGCTTGGCCTCGTGTAATTGTTCTTCTACATTATCTCTATTTTTCATTACGCAAATCGTCTTTCATTTATAATTGAAAAATGTCAATCATGTCAAAATATACATGAATCTAATAAAAACTCATTTTTTTTTAAAAAAAATGGATTTCACTTCTAGTTACTCTTAAATAAATTCTATTATTAATTTGTTTAGACTTCAAAATAAAAAAAATCTTGTTACAGTATACAAATTTTATTATGCATTAACTTGTTTCGACCTTTTATAGCTAACTATTAAATACTGTATTACTACACATAATAACATTATACTGTAACTATAATAAAATTTATTAAATATTGTAATATAATTATATATAAACTATTAATTAAATTAAATTAAATTAAATCTTAACCTCACCAATAAGTTTGAATTTCAATTCTTTTTATAAATAATTTTTTTTTTTTTTTTTGCATAAAAAAAAACTACAGTATATCAATAAATAAATGTCTTTAAAAATACATTAAATTTGTAAGTTAGCATAATATTCCTCTGCTTTATCAATACAAGTAACGCTCGACTGAAGCTTGTCAATGGTTTCTTGATATTCTGCATCTTCGTTACTATCATAGACAATTCCACCCCCTAATGAAAGTTATTAGTTAATATCAATCATAAAATGTCAGAATGTAAAAAAAATAAGCTCAATAATTAATTTGACAATTATTTATCTCAGTTCATAAATTATTGAACAAATTAATATATAGAGTTTATAAATTAGAATTTAACCTACCTGCTTGAAGGTATACAAACCCATCTTTGAAAACCATGGTACGAATTGCAATGCAAGTATCTATAGAATTGGAAAAATCGAAATGACCTACAGCGCCTGCATATACTCCCCGTTTCTCTCTCTCAGGTTCTGCAATAATCTCCATGGCTTTAACCTTAGATGCTCCAGAAACAGTACCTGCTGGAAAGATTGACCTAAATGCATCAAATCTATGAATTTCAAAAGTATATTTTAATATATGATTTTATTTAATTTATTTTTTTTTAAAAAAAATGATCTTAATGAATATCATATAAACCTTGTTTTATCCGGGCGAAGTTTACCAGAAACTTGACTCACAATGTGCATAACATGACTGTAACGTTCAATATGCATTAATGAATCAACTTTAACAGTTCGAGGTTGGCAAACACGATTGACATCATTTCGTCCGAGATCAACAAGCATAATATGCTCTGATTTTTCTTTGGGGTCATTAAGTAGTTCGTCGGCAAGCATGTCATCCTCTAACAAATGTATGTGTTTGTGAATTAGAAATAACTCAAATGATTAACAAGAGATAAAGAAAATGTCTACACCTTCTTTAGTTTTTCCACGTTTACGGGTACCGGCAATTGGATGTGTGTATACGATATCATTTTCAACTTTGACAAGGAGTTCAGGAGATGCGCCAACAATTTGACAATCATTTAGATCAATATAAAATAAATATGGTGATGGATTTACTGTCCGTAAATGTCGATAAGCATTGAAAGGGTGTAGAGTGGTAGGACGCTCAAATCTTTGAGACGGTACTGCTTGAATAATATCACCTTTTACTATATGTTCTTTCAATATTGTAACAAATTCTTTATAACCTTCTTTCCCAACATTGGAAACTGATGTTTGATTCAAAATTATTTCTTTCTGAGGTATTTTAGATGTAGTCTCTTTACTAAGTAAATTCAAAACATGTGTTATTTTATCTGTAGCTTCTCGATATTTATAATCTACATATTTTAGATCATAATCATCACTTCGATAATGAGAAACTTATAACTTGATATAAATGATCAAAAACG